AAAAATGGCATGTTATGTTTTTTAGAAGACTCATCTTTTGGAGAGAATATTGAAATATTTATGAATGAGATGGTACGATGACTAGGATTTGCTTCAAAATAATCGATGGGTCGGGGGGAAATGGGTAACATGTGGATGACCTGTTAAATATTGACGCAGGTGATGCACCTGGGGCTCATTATACTAGTATCTCTACTTTCATATATGCTGGAAAAGTTTTGTAAAGTTTCAGAAAATTTTGTACAGTCTGCCATGTATAGTCACACGGCAGTGTTCTGGATGCCTTTTTAAAGATCTTGCTATTTGTTAAGGGACATTTACTGTATCATTAGCTAATATCGAGGTGTAATTTCACTTTACCATCATTAATGAGCATGGATGTGACTCCGTATTTTCAATGTTCCTCTTGTCAACTTTTTGGCAATCATTTTTGGTCATTTTCTTGCAAGATACAATTATACTATCATGTGTACCTTTCATGTAGCTAGCAAAGATCTCATACAAGAAAGAGGTGGCAACTCTGCCAATTTTCTTTGTGTCTGTTTTACATTGCATTTTTATTCTCATTAATTCATGGTTTCTTGAAGGAAATCTTTTCAGAACCATGACCACTCTGTGAGATTTAATTTAGTTCAGCAGAATCTAGGTAATACATCTTGTAATTCCTCAGAACCAGACATCTGGAAAGTAACATCCTATAATATTCTGAACACCAAACAGTGAGGGTGACAAGGCCAGCCCCTCCCTGTGTGGAAGTGCCACCAGACACTTCTTGTATCAGTCACAGCATGCCACCATCTGTCATTCAGGCCATAAAGGTGCCACGGTCATTCCAGAGTACATATTAGCAAAGCTCAATTATTTTATTTGCAAAATAATATTGTTAAAAAAACAGAAGTTCTCTTTTTTTTTCCTGTATGGAAGAAACTCCCAGGATCCCAACACACTGGATACAACCAAGCACTGAGAACTCTTCACACAGGAGGAGGAACCCATACTGACTACATTCCTCTGACGGCAATTATAACTTCCGGGGGCTTGGGAACAGTGACTAAATCCCACATCTAAGGCAGATTTGAAGAGCGTATGTAATCCCAGCCTTACCGGCACAAGCCATCACCTGTTTTATTGCAGGGAAGTGGCCTCCCGGCTCTCCCAGAGCATCCCCTTGTCACGCAGGCTCTCAGGAAGAGGTGCTGTGCCCCAGCCATCCCGCCTGGTACGCAACTACCAGGACCCTCGGGAGAGCCACCTGCTGGGCACAGCAGCCCTCTGCTGGGGAGAGCTCCTACTAGGCACACCCCAGCTTGCAAGGTTGGGGAGAAGGCCCATTTCACCCACAGTCCAGCAGAAACCAGATTCCGACGTTTCATGCAAGTTTATTGATAATCTGAGGGTAGCTGTTGGATTCGTTTTCTAGGGCTGCTGTAACAAAGTACCCCAAACCGGGTGCCTTCAAAACCATACACTTACTCTCTCCCACTTCTGGAGGCTGGAAGTCCAAACTCAGGGTGTGAGCAGGTCCCTGCTCCTCTGGGGTCTCCAGGGGAGGACCCCCCTTGACCCTTCCAGCCTGTGGTGGCCCCGGGCCTTCCATGGCTTGTGGCAGCCTCGCTCTGGTCTTGGCCTCCATCTTCACACAACTGTCGTCTCTCTGTATCTGGGTGGCTCTCTTCATGTCTAATGAGGACACTGGTCATACTGGATTAGGGATCCCCCAACTCCAGTGTGACCTCCTCTGAACTAAGTCCATCTGCAATAGTGCTATTTCCAAATAAGGCCACATTCTGAGAGAGTTTGGTCTTCAACATACCTTTTTTGAAGGGCACATTCCCCCAACAGTTAAGAGTGGTTTACAACTACTGCATAGGCCTAGACCTGTCCTCAGAGCTCCTTGCTGAAGCCATTTCCTCCCTCCCAAAGGCTACCTCCACGGACTTAGGGCTGACTTACTCCACCCGCTTTCACTTCTGGGAGCTGCCCGTGAAACTCCGTATCTCAGGGCATGGGCCACACTGATCCCTGGCTTCAGAGAGGAGGCCCCCTCTCATCCCAGACTTGCCTTCCCCAGGATGGCCCCTGACGGGATGCTGAGCATGGGTCTACCGAGGCCGATGAAGGAAACGGCTCTCCCACCCATAAAACCACACAATGACACAGCCTTGGCACGTGTCCCCAGCCCTGCACTGTCTTATTTTGAATAACACTCAATGTGAGACCTGACAGATCCATCAGATTTGGCTTCTGTGATGATTAAAATGAGTTTAGTTCTTCGCTAGTCTTCCTTCATCAAGTATTTAAAAAGCAAAACTACGATACAAAACATTTTCACGTCCCCTTTCATTTAGGGTCACCCTGTCACACGTAAAAAGGCGAAATAATTTCACAAGCGTCCTTTAATAAAAATAAGTATACTGTGGTTTTCACTCTTTTTTTTTTTTCTTAGACAAGCCCAATGGTAGAAAAAAAGTTTTGCCTGTTACCTCAGGGAATTAAAAAAATTCATTGAAACTGGAAATCAGATGTCATTGGACTTGGAAATGCTCACAGAAAGTTAATAATAATCCCACAATAACAGTTCAAGCTTAAATAACTGCCATTAACTGTCCTATGCAGCAACACCAAGGCTTAGCCCAGCAGAGGCTGACCTGGCCAATCTACCCACAGGTTTAGCATGAGCTCCTCACTCAAGGGATGATGGCCATTTGCTGAGTCAGTAACATCCTTTCTCTGGAACCTGAAGAGAAGAGATGGAATTCTTAATTCCCAGGGAAACAGAACATAGTGGAAGGATGCAGAGACGAGGCCGCACACAGACGCCCCAAGGCAGAGCGGCCCTGAGTAAGCAGAATGCACAGAAGAGAAATTGATTGGTGGCTGCAGCTCCAGTTGATTCAAAGGTTAACAAGGGATCTCAGTCAGCAGAACTACTTTGAATTCAGAAACAAGGCCGCTTCTCCCAACCATGTTGCTGTAAGGTATGGATGCCGTCAGTTATTTCTGTGTGAATTCATATCATGAATCCCAAGTATTTTAGGCAATCTGAGTAATTTCTTAAACCAAACAAATTTTCCCCGGTCAGGAATAAAGGGATCTTTGAACTTCTGGATCTGACTTTAAAGGGCATTAAGACAAATGGAACATTTCTTGAATGAATTTGTGTTTTACAACTGCACTTCTCAGTTTGGACTCCTAATTTTCCCAGGCTAGGGCAGTGCTTTCAAACTTCCTGAGGCAACCCATAGTAAGAAATACATTTTACAATGGGACTCAGTGCACAATACATATATACCACATCTGTAAAATATATATACACACAAGAGTGCCATGAAAGTATACATACCCATACTATGAGCAACATACTATTTTTCTATCCTGTTCTTCTGTTACAACAAAACAAAAAAAAAGGTAACATCCACTAAGTTGCTTTCACAATCCACCAGGGCCCCTAGTACATCAGTTCAGAGTACTGTGGGAGGGGGCATCTGAACCCACAAGCTAAAAATTATGTATTTTCCCAGAGAGTCCATTTGAAGACCTGAAGTTTTAAAGTATTTCAACTTATTACTCAGTAGAGTGCAAAAATCCATTAGGATAAAATACACAGCTTCAAAGCTGTTTCTCATGCCCTGTTGGTCGTCTGGGCTTTCTATCTGTACACCCCTAGAATATGAACGTGCCTATGAGTGCTTTGAGCAGATGGTGGAAGGATTCTGCCTTAACACCAGTGTTTTACCTCAACATGTCATATTTATGGAAGTCACCCCTAAATCTTTATACCCAGGAATCCAGTGCTGTGGCTTCCTGGGGATTCCTTCCTTGTGGTCATTGGGAAAGGGCAAGGGCCGTGACCAGCAAGTGGTTGTTCCACTCAACCACTCAGGTCAACAACTGTCAAACAGACCAAGGACAACAAAGGGGCATTCGTAGGAGCAGCGTGGTGTCTGCTACTTCAGCACTCACCAAGGGCAAGAGTATCTTTCATGATGGAAGTCTCCCTGGCTGGAAATCTCCCAGTTGCATTCTCATTTCTAAGGGTTGGCTTTCTCTTTCATTTTCCAGGGCTGAGGCCTCCTGGGATGGCGTCCCTTCCTGCCCCCCAACATTAGTGCCACCCTAAGAAACCTTCATCAGCACCACTGGAAAAAGGAGTTGTCAGCAAGCCTTTTGTGAGCAATGCAGCAGTGTCCCCTTCCTGGAGGGTGAGCCCGGCTTACTCGAATCCCCGTAAAGGACAAGGACGGTTCTGGAGCATTCTCAGCTAACAATGGCTGGCGTTTGCCTACTGAATGGGCCACTCAGGTGTTCACAGGTAAAGATGAGTTGACGTGCACTATTTATTCCTGAGGTGTGCTGGCTCCGCCTGTCAGAGTTGAGACCAGAACTGGAGAAGCATACACTTTTTAAATGAAATGCGTAACATTCTGAATTAAGGCATATGCCATTCTTCCCACGGTCCTTCGCCAGTGGATAACATTTGATCACACCTACCTCCTCAAACCTAGACTTACCAAAGCGAATATATAAAGGTGTTTTGTAAAAACAATAACAAATGAGAGAGGAAGCAGCCAATCCATGACCTAGCCGGTAAAGGCCAACGTCCTCTCGCCTTTTAAGGGCTCAGCGGGCCAGTGTCCGCCAACCGCTCAGCTTTCCACCAATCACCGCGTCTTCCATAGTTTGCCCCGCCCCTCACCATGCTCTAACCAATCACTGGTGCGTCAGCTTCCCGCCACCCCCACCGTCGACCCCCATCCCCCGCGATGTTCAAAGGCTTCAAATCTCACTGGCGCCCAACCGAGGTGACTGCGGGGGTAGGAGGAAACCGCGCAGCCGGAATTTATATATTTAGCGTCCAGGAGAGCAGCCCCGCCCCCTGCTCCGCCTCCTCACCGCCCCCAATGGGAGACGGAGTTTCCGTCGCATCATCGCGCGGGCTGTCGGGAGCTGTCCAATCAGCGCTCGGGGAGAACTGGCGCAATTAAAAAGCGGCGGAAGACGGTGGGAGGGTCGTGACGCAGCGAGTTTCAGTCGTGACTTTCTCGGGGGTATCTCGGCGTCCTTTATTTTTTCCCCTTAAAGTAAAACGTCTCCCGACGCCCGCCCGCGCATTTCGGGAGCACGGGCGGCCGCTGCCCCGGGAAGGGTGGCACTGACGCGAGCCGCAGCGAGGGCCGGTGGTGGCGGTCACGTGGGCGTGTTTGGGGGCGGGGCCGTAGGGCTGTTCCGGGCGGTTGGGCGCGCGAGCGAGGAGCCCAGGCAGCCGCGCCCGCCCAACCGCCCCGCCCCTGGATGCCGCTCTGCCCCGGCACGGCCGCCGCCGATCGCTGCACAGGAGCCGCCGCTGCCGCCGCGGTTGATGTGGTTGGTCCGGGGCTGAGGAGGCCGCCAAGATGCCGCAGTCCAAGTCCCGGAAGATCGCGATCCTGGGCTACCGGTCTGTGGGTGAGTGGCGGGAGCCGCGTGGCCTCCGCAACCGGCCCGGCCTCGCTGGGCGCCGGGACGCGACGGGCCCGGTTAAGTTTGGGGCCGGCGCGGCCATGTGGCGGCCGCGCGTTTCGTAACCAGCTGCCCGCCGCCGCCACCTCCATTTTGAGCGGAGCCGGCGGCGAGGCCAGGCCCTGCTGGGCGGCCCGGGCGCGGGGAGGACGCGTCTGGTGAGGCCGCGGGCGGCTGGGAAGCCCCAGGTGCGGCCGGGGCTCCCCAGGTGCGGCCGGGGCGGCGGGCTCTGCTGTCCTGCCCCGGCTTCCGCGAGGCGCCCCGCGGGGAGAGGTCTGCACCTGTCTCGCCACCTTCTCGCGGCTTGCTGTCGTGATCGTTGCCAGCAGCTTTTCCGCCCCAAATAAAGTCCGTGGGATTTTAACAAAGGAAACAGCCCCTTGGGTTTTTTCTGTCTGTGGTGAAGTTCAACATTTAAAGAAAACCAGGGACCTAAAGGACGTTTGGCTGCTGAGGGTAAGTTTCTTACCAAAGAAACCCAAAAGAGCCCTCTTGAGAAGCTCCCTCGATGCTGCGGGGACCGAAGTAGGAAGGTGGCGAAAAAGAAATTTCTCATTTCTGGGTGCCCTATTTTTTCGTCGGTAGAAAATAGGGTCAGGTATTTGTAACTAGAATAAGTAATTAAAAAGTTGTCTCCTTTCCCCCTTCAAAAGGTTGACGTATATGTGGAACTGTTCCAGGCAGTCGCGTTTTTGCCGAAGTGAGGTGGTCTGTAGTGGGTGGGGTACGGACAGGGTGCCAGAAAACGAGAGAGAAAACAGAACCGTTGAACTTAACCGGGCTTCAGGGTGAGGCTTTATTGTCTTTGACAACCGGAAATCTGAAGACGTTACGTTTATCTTTCTGTGAGGTCTTTAAGTGACTGAGAATGTGCACTTGGCAACAGTGGGGGGAAGGAGGTGAAAGCGAAGGTTTGGGATCCCTGGTGATTGCAGGAGGCGAGGCAGTAATAACTGCCATGGGAAAGCTTGTAACTGCCAGCTGCTCATTGGACGAACTCGACTCCGCTTTCTGTACTGCCTCCTGGCCCCCATTTTCCACCGCAGGTGCCAGGGTGTGTGCTCTTTGACCGAGATCAGCTACAGCATGCTTACTCATCCTTTTATCATCTCTCTCCGTCAAAGTGGTGGAGTGGGGAGAATCATAAGAATGGGGGAAATCAAAGGCTTAGGCTTGTGTAGAGATAAGGGCTGTCAAGAGTCACAGGGAGAGTAACTCCTGTATGGTGCAGTGCCAAATCACAGGTGTATGCTGGGGAAGAAAGGGTGATAGCCTTAACAGCCTCAGCCGTTAAGTAACCGTACGTCAAACTGAGACTTTAAAATCCCTTAACAGTCCACTCGCCAAATGCCCATATGGAACCCAGCATCCATCCTTTATTGGCAGCCTGAATTACCCAGCCTTTGCTTCTCCGGTGTGTTTCCTCCTCTGCATTTGAAAAGTGAACTATGACATATCCTGGCTCTTGAATAAGCTCTACATAATCAGATAGTGTCCACTAGTTGAAGATAGCAGTCTGACAAATCAAGCTTCAGGTGACATCTACCTGAGCTACCTAATTTCTGCTCAAGAGAATGTCCCAAAGAACCTGACTTCTCTACCCTTTATATTCTTGAGGTAGTAGTTCTGGCCTGCAGTAATAAGCAAGTCTGGTGTTTATCACTTTTGCAGCAGAAGTTCCTTATGTCCAGTTGAGATCCATCATATCTTTCTTCTAATCATTCTCCTGAAGAATTGATGTGACAGGTCACGGACCCCTTAGCCTTCTCTTCGCAGATATTTATTTTAAACTTAACGTTTGTTGAAATGAAATGCTGCACTAAAGTAGTCTCCAGGGGAATACAGAGTAAGTTCTAGTCCCTATTTCTGTGCCTTCAATATGTTGTACTATTGTATCTTACTCCATTTTCTCCATATTTATTTTCAAGTGTAGTGATGATTAAACTAAAAGGTATTTTGGAGAGATTAGATTACTCCCAGTCTCTCATTTGACTTTAAAGTTGTTTACCTTTGTTAGGAACCAAGGACACTTTTTGTGGTTTATGGGGTCTTTTGTTTGGCCAGCACCAAAAAAGGAAGTAGTTCCCTGATTCTATATACTCGTCACTCTTCAGAGAATTATTCAGTATTCAGACTTGTAGGAGTTTACTGACATGTTTGCTTGCAAATGGCGCCATACTAGAAAAATTTGAGTATATGTGTTTCTAGATTGTGTCATTTTGTGATACTAAGCTGTTGTGTGTCATATTGACTGAGGGGTAAAGAGTGGTAGGAAAAGGCTTAGCCTGAATCCACACCTTCCTTAGGATGTTCTTTTGATTAAATATCTTATGCCAGTTTGACTAGTAGAACGCTTGTCATTGTGACTTTGTCTTGTCACAAACTTCATTTTAAAGTTTGTTTTCAGATAAAACTACTAAATGCTATGATTGTTTTACTACTTGGCTCTCAAATTTTGTATTTTTTTTTTAAAACATTGATGAGACTACCAGTGAGGAAAATATAATTCTCAGACAATGTATACAACTTTTTTTTCCTGAAGTACTTTACCTGTTATTTACAATGTTAAGCTTTTAAGGACACGTCACCTGTAATGCAGGCTGGCTTTCTGGAAGTGCTTTGTATGAATTGTTTTAATGGCGGCCAAATCCACCAGTTCGCTTACATCCATTGTTTCTAATACAAACAAGTAGTCGGATGATAGAAGGTAACTAAACCTAATCAAGTTAACGATGTAGTGTCAGGTACTATCCAAATAAAATCTGGTGCGTCTTTCACTAGAATCTTCTACAGAGAGCTTTGACAATCTAGTTTACCATTAGACCATAATCAAGAGGTGGTTTGTCATGTATAAGCCTTTGAGGTTAACAAGAGGGGCAAGATCACAGGAATGTGAAAGATTGTAAGAGAAAATGAAACAACTCTGTGGTTTGGTAAAAGGCAGTTGAGCGAGAGAGTATCTCATATTACCACCTTGTAAAATGTCAATGCTTCAGGTAGTAAGGAAGATGCTTCCTTTCATTTGGATACTACTAAATAGAGAAAGATGTCATTAAATTTGTTCCAAAAAGAAAATAATCCAATTGTATTCTGATTTGCTGTCAATTTTTAAACCATCCTATCCTTTTCTGAGACATTTTGTTGAGAAATTTAAAGGTTAAAACATTGTTAGCCATGTATAAAATCTATTAGTATTTGAAATTGTATGTTCAGGTGTTTAATAACACTGAGGTTGTGTACTTGTGGGTGAGGATAGTCCTGTAGTATCCACCTTGTGTTGAATCTTGAAATTAACTTTTTTTTCAGTGTCATTTGTTCTGTACAAGACAGTCATCAGAGCTATCAGACAGAGCTTGCTCTTGCGATTATGACTTTCCAGTGCCGAATGACTTGTCCAGTGCTCTTGATGTCCATGCGGGTTATGTCTATCCATACTTACCCTTCCTCATCCCCACAACAAACTCTGTACTCATGGGCACTCACTCTCCATCCTTCCCTCCCCTCAGTCCCTGGCTGGCATCCACTAATCTACTTTCTGTTTCTTTGAATTTACCTATTCCAGACATTTTGGATAAATGGAATCATACATACATGGTTTTTGTGACTGGCATCTTTGGTTTAACATGAATATTCTCAAGGTTCATCCATGCTGTAGAATATATCAATAATAATGAGTTTTGTTGCCAGGTACTATTCCATTTTTTTAATGTACCACATTTTATTTTTGCATGAGTCAGTTGTTGGATGTGTGGGTTGTTTCCTCCATTCCGGCTATTAGGAATAATGCTGTTACGAACATTCCTGTACAGATTTTTGTGTAGACATATGTTTCCACTTCTCTTGGATATATTCCTGGGAGTGGAATTGCTGGGTTATATGGTAACTTTATGTTTAACATTTTGAGGAACTGCCAAACTGTCTTCCAGAGCAGCTGCACCATTTTTACATTCCCACCAACAATTGAATTTGGTTTCAATTTTCCACATCCTCACCAACACGTATTATCTGTCTTTTTCATTCTAGTCATCCTAGGGCCTGAGGTGCTGTCATACATGATTTGTGTATAATCTTTTCCATTCTTTGGGTTATCTTTTCACTTTCTTGATGGTGTCCTTTGAAGCAAAAAGTTAGATAGAAATTCTGGCAAAGCCCAATGTATTTATTTTAGTTATTTGTCACTTGTGCTTTTTGTGTCTCATATATAAGAATTATGGCCTAATCCAAGGCATGTAGATTTTCTTCCAAATGTCTTATACTTTTAGCTCTTATGCTGGGATCTCTGGTCTATTCAGGGTTAATTTTTGTAAATGGTAGGAGATAGGGGTACAGATTCATTCTTTTACATGTGGGTATCAAGTTGTCCCAGTACCTTTTGTTAAAAGACTGTTCTTTCTTCATTGAGTTGTCTTGACATCTTTGTCAAAAATCAAGTGACTACAAATGTAGAAGTTTATTTCTAGACTATTCCTTTTACCTATATATACCCATTATTATGCCAGTATCATGCTACTATCTTGATTTCTGTGGTTTTATAGTAAGTTTCAAAATAGGTAAGTATGAGTCAACTTTATTCTTTTTCAAGATTATTTTGGCTGTTCTGAGTCCTTTGCCTTCTGTATGAATTTTAGGGCTAATTTACTAGTTTCTGCAAAAAAAAACCATGGGATTTTGATAGGGTGTTTTACAGTTATGTGAGTAACCTTGAATGTCTGTTTAAAAAAATAACTGAATTCTCATAATGGCTTCTGAATTCATTCCATTTCAGTATGTGATTTTAATGAAGTTTATGAAAGAAATCCAGCCTTGCACAGATAGGTAGTTAGAAGAGGATAGAGTATTTTAATAGCTTTTTCAGATAATTGTGGATACTCTTTGATAATCACCAAAACTCCATAGGTCATAGTTTCTTAGAGGTTAGTTGTAGTACAGTCTGAAATCATATGGAT